AACTATTAATATCTACGTTTTTGAAATGAATCGCAACGCAGTTCAAAACAATATTATTAATGCTTCGAAAAACAGTTGTGATTCGTTCCTTCAAGTCATCTTTTGTAGTTGGAGTTATTTTATAAATTTCGTTTTTGACGTAAGCCCTTAAAAAAATTCATTTTTGTCAAATCGGGTGAACGAGGTGGCCACTGAACAGGTTCGCCTCTGCCTATCCACCTTTCAGGAAATTAATTATTTAGGTACTCATGAATTTGAGCTATATGGTGAACTAGAGCTCCATCATGTAAATACCACATTCTTTCCTTGATATAATTAGGTAAATAGTCAACTAAACGTGGCAATTCAAATTTTGACACTTATTTAATGAATTCCATAGCCACCTTACAAAATGTAACAACTTTTTGAAATTTTTAAATAAAGTAATTTATAATTTGAAAACGGTTGATTTCACAGCTTAAAGTGTAAATGCAAATTTGTAACTTTGTAAATTGTCTATCTAATGACGAATTCATATACAGGTACTTCTATTTGAACAACAAAAGTTATATTGCGCTAAAAAGATTTAGATTGAAGTCCACATTTTTAACACCCTGTACAATGTATTGATATTTTAGTTCAATAGCATTCTTAACGGATCTGTGGTGATAGGAAAGACGTATTTGTTTGTACATATTTTTAACTGCTTTTTTTGCTTCTACAATTAATTTTTAGATGCCATGTTTTAAGCAAAATTTTACTAAAATGGCGATAATCTGCCAACGTCGCAAGTAAGAAAAAAAAACATTTACGGTGCATATGCAGCGTTTCAAGCTGCATTCCATGAGCTAATAAAAAATGGGTAGTTCGATTTAAAAAAATACACTTTGATCTTGCCTCGCTTTTCTGAGACACTCTGTATCATATAAGATATTTTTAAAATGTGCGCACTATGTGCGTCAACAATTTTTATATGAAACTATTTTTCGAAAGTTCAACACCAACGGAAATAATGGACTCTATCGCACTAAAAAACCACCCTGTATTTACCATAGAAAAAACCTTTTTCCGAATTTAGACATTGCTTCTGCAGCTCACTGTGTATAAATACCAAACATTTTATGGAGTATAAGAAACCGTAACACCTTTACAAATATTTTATTGATTTCAAGCAATGTAAATGGAATACCGGCACACTTACCACTTCTTGGACAATGCTGATAAGCTCCATTAATCTTCTCCTCAGCTGTGCCACTTCGTCCTTTATCTGTGTTACGTGTTGCTCGTACACTTCATCTAAAGGCTTAAAAGTGTGTCCTGAATGGGTCCCACCCCAGAGCGCACACTGATGGCAAATGCAACAACGGCAGGTCCAACAATAGACAGACAATTTTTCCAAATGTGTCGAACATCTATCAAGAGAATGCACATATTGATTTCATGTACCAAAACCGCTTGAATGGTCCATACTTGTCACGATCGTTTTCATCTCTGTTCCCGTTCAAACTGACAGCCTGCAGAGTATCCAACTGTTGAGTGACTTCCTCAACCCAGCGGCAATTGACCAGCTCGTGTAGATGCAAAGAAGCTCGACAATGGGGGCATTGGGATCTTTGCTCTGTTAGCCACCTTCGGATGCATACGTAACAGCACAGCTTTGAGCAATGAGGGCAAAGGTGTGCGTCTCGAAGTTTTTCCATGCATATAAAGCAGCGAAAAACTTCTGCAAGTGTCTGAAAGAATAGTGATATCTTGTCTACGAATTTCATTTATTGTATCAAACTCTGCCTTTCGTTCTATGATTGTTCGGGTAATTGAGAATACAGCCAACGAATGTTGGCAGTCAAACTATGAGTGGATCACAAACATTTTCGCTTAGACACCACGCTTAGCTGAATTTCTTCACGAAAATGAAATACTATAATTTATAATAATTGCATTTTTATTGGACCCGAAAACTATTCTGGCATTCCTCTACTAGTATTTTAAAAAATCATGTAAGTAGTATAAACAGTTGATGAGCTTTTCAGTATGTTTAAACGTCTCCCGATATCGTCAGTTCAATAGCTTGCTGTTTGGTTGGTTGCACATGCTGTTTGGCGCAAAACGCGCTTCCAATCTGGATTGAGTGCCGTAATTTCTTTTTTTCTGTTGAAATTGTTTTGGTGTTTAAATATTTCGATTGCCTCCCTGGTGAGTCTCGGGTAGTATCTTTCAGATTGGTGCAGAATGTCAACTTCGTCGAAGCGTATTTGGTGGCCATCTAGTAGTGCGTGCTCCGCTACTGCTGATTTTTTCGTTTGTCCCAATCTGCAACTTCGTTTGTGCTCCGTGATCCTAGTGTTTATGCTTCGTTTTGTGGTGCCGATGTATGCTCTTCCACAGCTGCACGGAACTCTGTAGACTCCTGGTGCTGATAAAGGATCTCGTTTGTCCTTGGCCGATCTCAAAGTCTGTTGGATGGTTCGAGTTGGTTT